GACAAGCACCCTTTCCCCCCTGGGGTGGCCCGGCAACAATAACCTACTGCGCGGTCCAGATGTATTTTTTGCCAAAAGCCACTGGGTTTCGAGATTTGTTCCTGAGTCTCTGGGATCATGGCCATTAAGCAGTTTGATCAGGAACCAGAAAGACCATGCCTCCAAGTATATAGCTGAGCCGGAGGTGGTTTGTGGGTGTGTCTCCCACATACCTAATTTTTGGCCGTTTACTTTCTTGGCAAACTTTGCCCCAAGTTTTTGGGGTCTGGCCAAAGGCACAGCAGCAATTTTGGGGTATCTGGAAGTCTGAAGGTGCCATCAGGCTGCTGATGCACTCGCCTCACAGGTACAGATTGACTTGCTGGCGGCACCATAGCCCCTGGAAGGCCCTAGTCTTGAATGCAGCCCATCCAGATTCAATCCCCAGCACCATCCCCTATGGTCCTTACCTCCATGAGCATCGCCAGAGATAATTCATGAGTGCAGAGCCAGGAGTAACCCCTGAGCATCGCAGGGTGTGCCCCGCCCCCACAAAGAAAGGGAAATGTACTCCAACCCCATGGAGATGCCCAGCACTGTGCCCACTCTGGAGTGTGCTTGCTAGATCCCTATCTTCTCCGGATAGGGCTGAGACTTCTCACCCCTGCCCCGAGTCTGGGCCGGAGGGGCAACGGGAGCAGGGAGCCAAGAGGCCTGTGCTGCTTGCCAAACCCCTGACTGCCCCCGGAGAGCCAGACCGCTAGCCAGCCCTGGCCTGGGCGGAGGACAGCCCCACCAGGCTAAGTGACAGCCCCGCCCAGGCCATGATAACCCCGCCCAGGGCCTCTCCAACCCGTGACAGCCCCGTGACAGTCTCGCCCAGACCCTTCCAGGCCCCACCCCTGTTATAGCCCCGCCCAGAACCTGCCAGGTCCCGCCCCATCCCCGTGATAGCCCCGCCCAGAACCTGCCAGGTCCCGCCCCATCCCCGTGATAGCCCCGCCCAGACCCCGCCCATCCCCGTAGTAGCCCCACCCAGACCCCGCCCGTCCCCATAATAGCCCCGCCCAGACCCCGCCCATCCCCGCAATAGCCCCGCCCAGACCCCGCCCCATCCCCGTAATAGCCCCACCCAGACCCCGCCCGTCCCCGTAATAGCCCCGCCCAGACCCCGCCCATCCCCGCAATAGCCCCGCCCAGACCCCGCCCCATCCCCGTAATAGCCCCACCCAGACCCCGCCCATCCCCGCAATAGCCCCGCCCAGACCCCGCCCATCCCCGTAATAGCTCCGCCCGTGCCCCGCCCCCCACACCTCGTTCTTCCTGGGGCAGGTGGGTTCCCAGCCCGCTGGTAGATGTTTGACGCCTTTCTACCTCACATGCCAAGGGCTGCAACACACGCAGGAGGATCAGGCGGGCAGAGACCTGGTTCTCACAGCTGGGGCTGCTCCCTTGAGCCAGTCTTGGAGGTCGCCTGGTCCGCGTGGATCTCAGCTGAGGCGCACGGCTGGCAGGAGCTGACGCCCAGGCCCCTGGCTTGACTTCCCCCTGCCCCTCCGAGGCGCAGACGTTACCTGAGGGCCGAACAGCACCTGCAGCCTCCCTGGGGGACTCCAGCCCCAAACGTACGAGCCAGAGGGCCCCCATAGTGCTGAGCCCAGTCCCCGCCTCGTCTTCCCAGGCGAGCAGGTTCTTCTTCTCAAGAAAGACAAGGATGGCACCACCGCAGTGCTGCCAAGCAGTCAGCTGGCAGGCACATCGCACGACGCACGCGAGCACGTGAACGAGGCGTGATGCACAGCGCGCATGCGCACGGCACAAACACACACACACACACACACACACACACACACACTCACACACACGGAGAGAGGGGTACACGCGCTCGTGCCCACAGCATGCACAAGCCAGACACCCATGCTACGGGCCCGACGTGGGAAATAGCACAGCGAGGAGGGCGTTTGCCTTGCACGCGGCGGGCCCGTGTTCAATCCGCACCATCCCATAGGGTCCCCTGAGCACCGCCAGAAGTGATTCCTGAATGCAGAGCCAGGAGTACGCCAAGTGTAGCGCCCCCCACCCCCCCGCCAAAAAAAAAGAAAGGCCACAACAGGTTGGTCACCCTGCCGGGAGAGGCTGCTCTCTCGAGTCCCTGTGATGACCTGGGGGAGGCACGAGGACACCTCGCGTGAACAGCAGAACAGCGACCCAAAGGTGCAGGGTCCTCTCACCTGCACAGCCACCGGCCCCCCACTCCCAAGCTTTATTATTATTCTTTTCAGTTTTGGGGCCGCAACCCGGCGGTGCTCAGGGTTTACTCCTGGCTGCACTCAGGAATCACACCTGGCCGTGCCCAGGGGAGCCGGGGATGCCGGGGGATAGAACTCGGGTCGGCCGCGCGGGACAAACGCCCGTCCTGCTATCATCGCTCATGAGTTTCTGAGCGGGAAACTGGCCCCGTCCCAGAGGTAGTCTCTGAAACGCCCCGCAGGGAGCGAGGGGTGGTGAGGACCAGGGAGCCGCGGAGGTGTCTCCAGGCTGAGACGAGACCCTGCGTCATGCCGCTGCCCAGGGCGGGGCGGGCCTGAAAGTGAACCGCAACAGTGACCACAGGGTCACGGCTCTTCCGCGGCACCTCCACACTGACACCTTGTGGCCGTCTGGGGGAACTGCGAGCCACGCGGACAACAAGGGAGCAGGATTTGGCTGATAGGACAGCAAGAAAGGAGCTTGTCTTGCACCTCATATGGTCCCCCGTACCCCACCAGGACTGATCCCTGAGCGCAGAGCCTGGAGTAAACTCTGAGTACAGAAGGATGTGGCCCCCCCAAATGAGGGTTATATTTCCCCAGGAACATTAACCTGGGAGTGGAGTACCCTAACCAGGCACTGCTCTGCTGTGCTGTCACCTAGACATGCTCCTCTGGTCTCTGAGTGTCCCATCCCCAGTGGGTCCTCTTCCTCGCATCTAACATGTCCAGATGAGACCCAATCTTGAGTTCCAGTCGCTGCCATCTGGGTCTGCCCACACCCCAGGAAGAAAACGGTCATGAGGACTGTCCTGTCCCATGCTCAGGGGGACATGAAAGATGTCCCCAGACCCCCTGTGCACAGAGACCAGCCCCCTTAGTGGCTCTCAGGCAGGGTAGCAAGAGGGTATTTTTTTAAAACTTTTTTATTAAGAGTGTGATAGACCCTTACAACGCTGTTCATAATTGGATTTCAATCATACAGTGTTCCAACACCCATCCCTCCCTCAATGTACATTTCCCAGCACCAGTGTCCCCAGGTTCCCTCCCATTACCCCCACCCCCACCCCCTGCGTGTCGCTCTGTCAGCACTTCTCTTTTCTCCTCTCTCTCTCTCTCTCTCTCTGTATATATCTCTCTCCTTTGGGACATTGTGGTTTGCAATACTGATACTGAAAGGTTATCAAGAATATCCCTTACCTACTTTTAACCCTCACAGCGGTAGGGCGTTTGCCTTGCACGCAGCCAACATGGCCGACCCGAGTTCGATTCCTCTGCCCCTCTCGGAGAGCCCGGCAAGCTACCGAGAGTATTCGGTATGCCAGACACAGTAACAACAAAGTCTCCAATGGAGACGTTACTGGGCCCGCTCAAGCAAATCGATGATCAACGGGAGGGCCTTTACTTTACTTTTACTTTACTTTTAACCCTCAGAGCTTGTCCAGCGTCATCATTCCCAGCTAGTATTGTCATACTGGTCTCTTCTCTATCTTACCTACCCTCAGCCCCCGACACACTTGTGGTTGATTCCAACTGTCCTTCTAACCCCTATTTTCCCTGCCCATCTAGTCTTCTACTAGATATTTTTTATATACCAAAAATGAGAGCAGCCATTCTATATCTGTCCCTCTCCTTCTGACTCATTTCACTCAGCATGATACTCTCCATGTCCATCCATTTATATGCAAATTTCATAACTTCATTTTTCCTAACAGCTGTGTAGTATTCCATTGTGTAGATGTGCCATAGTTTCTTTATCCAGTGCTCTGTTCTCGGGTACTCAGGTTATTTCCAGATTCTGGCTATGGTGAATAGTGCTGCAATGAACATAGGCATGTGGATGGTGTTTCCGCTGTACCAGAGTCTTTATTCCTCCACCAGGGAGGGCAGAAACATGGGGAGGGGAGGTTATGGGGGGGGGGGATTACTCTGTCTCTGGCACCTGGGCTGGTGGTGGGGGCACGTCCAGCATGGTGGAGCCAGCGTCCCGGGGGTTCCCGGTCACCAGCAGCCAGTGGTTCCGTGGCTTCTCCACCTTGTGGGTGTCCAGGTGTGTGTGAGCAGCCACCTCAGCCTCCTTTCCAAAGTAGGTCCTGGGAGAATGGGGGGGTTCTGGGTCACAGCAGGGCAACTGTGTAGGCCCCCACAACACACCTATCCAGCCCAGGGAGTCTCTGCGGGGTATCCCCAAGTGGGGCCCCTCAGGGACTCCAGGAAGAAAAAGGGGCACCTAGCACTGGGTAGGGGGCCTGGATATGGCCCTGGTTGTCTATACTGCTGGCCAGTGCGGGGCTGGTGGCTGCAGCCATGGCTGTCTACACCACAGTCGGCCTACCTGAGAGGGAGGTGCCGGTGCACGGCCAGTGCACGGTTGGTGTGCCGGTGGCTGAGCACAAGCCTGGTATTGGCCTGGGAAAGTGGAGATGGGCACACCCATCAGCAAGTTGAGATTCCAGTTACCCCAGACACCACCTGGGGGACCCTCTGGGAATCAGTGGCAGAGGCCAGGCAGGAGCCCCAGTGCACTGCCCAGGCCATATGGCTCCCCAGAGCCACTCCCAAACCAATCAGCACTCTGGGGTAGAAGCACCTTTCCAACAGAATGCAGGGACGACCCCCATGCCCACTGGTCCCCTGGGCCAGGACCTGCCAAATTCCCTTCCCTAGACAAGAGATGCAGCCCACCTGGGTCTCCACCTGGTGGCAGGTGGGGGAGGTAGGAGGTGCTGCCTGGAAGTTCCAGATGATTCCAGCAGCAGCCAGGTCACTCACCTGCACCGGGGTGCCCTCATACTCCAGCCGCATGTTGGGGTCGGGCCAGGTGGCCTGCCACCAACTAAGGAAGGACGGCTGTGCCTCCAGGGACACAGCCTGCAGCCATGAGCGTGGAGTTGACCGTTGCAGCGTCCGATGGTCACTGGACAGGAAGAGCTGCAGGGACACCACACGTGCTGAGCCCCCTTCTGTGCTCATCTGCTCTGCCTTGAATGAGAACCCCAAACCCATGGGCGGTCTGGGGAGCCTCAGGGCTGTGTTCCCCTGGAAAAAGTCCCCTGACTGTACTCAGCGGGAAGGAAAGCCCTAGGGACCACCCGGGGATGACCAGAGAGTGTGGGAGTATCTGTGCTTCCCGGGGTGTGGCACTCACCATCCTGCCTTCGCAGCCCCCTGTGGTGCCCAGGCAGAAATCCTGCCCATATCTGAGCACGTTCCCCGGCATGGGAGCATCCTCTCCAGTGCTGGAGACAGAGGCAGAAGGTCAGAACATAGAGGCAATCACCAGGCACAGCCACCCCTCCCCCCACCCCCACTGATAGCTAGCAGCCTCTAATGCCAACAGCCCACTCCCTGGGCAGGAAGTGGATTTCCTGACCCTCACCCAGTGCCACTGGGGAAACCTTTCAAATTGGCCCCTGGGTGGGGGTAAGGGGGGAATGGGTGAGGAACCCTTGGGAAAGAAAGCAAGGGGGCAGCAGGAAGCTCCTGGGCCAGGCTTCAGGGATCCCCCCCACCTCAGCACGCAGAAGGTGTTCCGGCCCAGTGGGGCTCTAGTCTGTGCCGCGCTCAGGCCACAGGGCACCTCCAAGCCGTGGGCCAGGTACGCCTGGATCTCATCGGGGCTCATGCACAGGCTCAGGTCCCCTCCCAGAAACAGATCGGCTTCCTTCTCCTCATAGCTGGGGTTCACCAGCAGTACCTGGTCGCCAAAGTGGATGAACCCGTCCGCCGACACCGACAGCTTTGTCTACGCAGAGAGGGGGCATCCCAAGAACACGCAGGAGGAACACAACCGGACCCCAAATCCTTCCTCCTCCTTCCCCAACAACACCAACCCCAGAATGCCAAGTGGAGGCCCCCATTAACTGCACATGATGGATCATCAAGTGTGTGGAAGTCACTGGGAATCATTTCCGCTTCCCTGAAAGCCACCAGCAGTGACCTGGCCACCCCCACATCCCCCGATCTCACTGGGAAACTGAGACCACCCAGGTTTGGGCACGCAAGGCCGAGAACAGCACATAAGATCTCATGGAAGGTGGTGTTTCATGGTGGGTTTCACCTTTTTTTTCTGGTGGGGGTGCTCAGAGGTGTGTCCATCTCCTAGAACTTATGATGTTGGGGACTGAACATCAAGCACACCCTACCCCCCAAACAATCTCTCCAGCCTACACTGTTTCAGCAGCAAAGACAAACCTGGCGTTTCCCATGTGGTAACTTGTTCATGAAGTAACAAGGGTTACTTTGCTTTGCTCAGCAAACAGACTCACACTTAGCTTGATGGGACTTAGAGGCGATGTTTGGGTTTTAAATGACCCATCACTGGGCCTGGGAGTTGGCTCAAAGGGCTACAGCCCAGGCCTTGCATGTGGGCGCCCCAGGTTCAATCCTTGCCAGCACACGGTCCCCATGTCCCCTGCACCAACACCACTGTTGAATCAAACCCTGAGCACTGAGCCAGCAGCACCAGCCAGGTGTGGCCTCAGGATCAAAATAAAGTGAAATTACCGGCCTCAAAAGGGTCTCCTTCAGTCTTCGGCTTCTCTGAATGAGCAGCTGGCCCTTGTCTCTCTTCTCCAAGAAATCTTTCATGAGGTCCTGATTTGAAAGAAACAAGTCATATCTGGGGCTCAAACCAGGGTCTGGGGGCCGGAGTGATAGTACAGCGAGTAGGGCATTTGTCTTGCACGCGGTCAACCTAGGTTCGATCCCTGGCATCCCATATGGTCCCCCGAGCACCACCAGAAGTAATTCCTGAGTGCAGAGCCAGAAGTAACCGCTGCGCATCGTTGGATGTGAAGCAAAAAAAAAAAAAACCCAGGGTCAGAACGGAGGTGGGGGGGCGGTGGAGTGTAAGGCTGGAGTGTAAGGCAAGTGTTGGGAAGGTCTGAGCCCTGCAGGAAATAATTGGGGAGAACCCAGACCCTTGCAGAGACAGGCAGTCACCTTAGGGAACCGCCGTGCCCCTTGGGGCCCCCAGACCATGTAACTGACAGACACCTGGGGCCCAGGGGCCCTCGTGGGATGACTGCAACCACCTGGAAAGGGGGAGAAACCGGTGATGGGGGACTGGGGAAGCGGGGTGGGAGGTCGAGGCTCGCGGCATATCTGAGGGCTGAGGGCTGGCCCTGCGTTCAAGGATGCTGAGGGGCGCTGGGCAGAACGAGGGGTGGTCTGGAGGTTCCTACACCCCTACCTCCTCCAGGAACAAATCCTCGTTCCAGTTGCCCAACAGAACCCGCGGATTATACAGGTTCTGCGCCATGACTGCGCCGACTCCAGCGCCCGGCCGGCCGCCGGGCTGTTGGCTGGTCCGTCTCCATGACGACGCCCGCCGCCCCGCCCACTCTGGGCGCGCCGGCCAATCGGTGAGCGCGGCCGCTGCCCCGGCACGGAGTGGAGGGTCGAATTGCAAAACCCGCGCGGGGGACGGCATGCAGCCTCAGTCGCTTCGGCTCAGACCTGGGCGCGCGGTTCATTTCCAGCTGTCCCCCCACGGGGTGTAGCCTTAGCGTGCCCCCGAGAGCGCTCAGACTCCCAGGGAAGTCACCCAAGACGCCCCTTGTTTGGGTCTCGGACAGACACCGCGCTGTTGCAGGGTCCTGGCCACGTCTACCCCTTCACTGGGGAGCTGTCATCCTTAGGAGCTTGGGGGTCAATCTGGCCCAGAGAGGGGGGATGGGGAAGTTCGGGGCCAGGTCTGTGCAACAGCGCCCTCGTGTGACCAGATGTGGAACGCTCCACCCCCTTGGCAGGGACCAGGACCCAGCCGAGGGTGCTGGGGTGGGGATGGCACAGTGCCTCTCACAGGGAGCGCCTGTCCCGAAACAGAACTCTTCTTCCCTCCTAACGGAAGAGCGGCTGAGAGCCGCTCAAACGTGAGCCGAAAGCAGGGCCGCTTCCCGCAGGAGATCGACTACAGGCCTCCTTTCCTTTCCTGGGTGGGGCTGGGGGTCAGGGAGATGCTGCCTGCGGCCTCGCTGCCTCCAGACATGCGACGCACCCAGGCCCTGGATCCCTAAGGAGTGGGTCTGTGGATTGCACTGGCTGGGCGGCAGGAGGAATTGGTCAAATGCTGGAAGCTCGTTCCTGGAGCCCACCAGCTGCGCCAGACCCCAAACCCCAGGCAACGAGGAGGGGCTGGGGTATCTGCAGGCAACTTCATCAGGGGGCAGACCCCAGGCCACCAGGAGGCCAGAGGTGGGACTGGAAGTTCAAGTGAGTAAAACAATAAGGAGAATGAGCAATAGTACAACAGGGAGGGCGCTTGCCTTGCCCACGGCCAGCCCAGGTTCGATTTCATCCCCGGCATCCATATGGTCCCCTGGGCACCACCAGGAGTAATTCCTGAGCACAGAGCTAGGAGTAACCCCTAAACATCAAGAGGTGTGGCTCACAAACAAAAAACATGGGGGAAGGGCCAGAGAAATAGTACAGCAGGCGTGGTGCAGGCATGGTACTTGCCTTGCATGCGGCTGACCTGGGTTCAATCCCTGATGCCACATTTTGGTTCCCCAAGCACAAAACCAGGAGTAAGTCCTGAGAACTGCTAGGTATGCCTCCCCCACCTAAAATATCTGTAAACGAAAAAAGTGGAGTATCATTTCATGTTGAGGACCAAAGAAGGGGCCCAGGGGCCAAACCACCCATCTTACAAGCTTGAAGTCACGAGTCTGACTCACAGCACTGGCCCACATGCACTGCACACAATCCCACCAGCACTGACTTTGGGGATCCCAGAGTGCAACTGGGTATGCGGCCCCCAGGGGCATTGTGAGCAAGGGTACAACCTCAGATCAGCCCCCAAGCCCAGAGTCCACACCCGCCACCCTCTCGCCAGGCTGTTCTCCACCTGAGGTCTCAGGGCACTCAGGAATTCCACAGCACAACTGTGCCCCTCACTAAGGCACCCTGGTGATGGCCCTGAGCATGGAGACACCCAACAGTCGGATGGTCAGCCAGGGGAAACTGCAGGGGAAACGTGGGACTGAGCAGAGGCGCTGACCTAGGAAGCCAGTGCCACACCCCGGTAGACCCCACCCGCTTTCACACTGGGACCAGCTCTGGAGTGTCTTCCTGGCCCACAGGTGCAGTCCGGGTGCCCGCTTGGGGTCCAGCAGGGAGCAGAGCCCTCCTGCACCCCAATAACAAGAAGAGAATGGTCAGACGAGGAGGAGAAAGAGGGGTGCGTCCGGGTCTCTGGTTTCTGACCAAGAAGCTCTGGACGGAGCTTGGAGCTGAGGTCAGAACAGGCACTCACGAGCGCTCCCCGCCGGGGTGGGACTTCCTTCCTGCCGGAATGTTCTGGGCCTGGAGAGGGGCTTCCTCTGGCAGAGCTGCAGGTCGCAGAGCTAGGTGTCCCCGCCCTGTCTCCAATCAGGCAGCCAGGGGTTCCAGTAAGGAGACCCCAATACCCCCACCCCCACTGACTGGCCAGTATCCCCCCACTGTGTGGCCTGGTGCGGGGGCAGGGGATGGGGCAGGGGATGGGGCAGGGTCCCTGGGTCACCTGCCCCTGAAGATAAGTCCTGCTTCCCCTTTGGGAGCTAAAGTTCCGATGTGGGAGGAAGTCACAGCCCCTCTCATCCACCCAGCGCTGGGGAGTGGTGGGAAGTGTGCACCCCATTCCTCCCAGCCCTGGGGGCGGCAGCAGTGACAACCCCACCCCACCCCCGCCTTGACCCCTCCTTCCCTCTGCTCTGCGGAACAGAAACACAGCAGAGAAGCCACTTGGCAGCAGGCCCCACAGAGGGGCCTCCTTGCCTTCCTTACCCACAACCCCTATAAAAAAAACCACTATCTGTGCTAGCTCCCAGGGCCCCACCAGCCTGAACCTCCACTACCCAGCGCTGGATGGCGCACAGCTAGATAGGAACTGGTCTGGACTCGTCTGAACTAGTTTGCGGCTGA